TACCCAGCTACAAGTTGTAGTAATAGAAGATATTAAATCTTTCCTTTATTATTAGTCTCAATATAATCAACCGCTTTTGCGTATACTTTGGAAACTGAATAAGTTTCTTTGAGACTTACTACAACACAATACCTTATTGGTAATCAATTGTATTTCTCCAAAATAGTATAATTGGCTCTTGCAGAGTTCTCAATTAATTTTGTAGTACCACATATTCATCAACATCCATATGGTGAATATCTATTTTAAAGAGAAAGTTATACCATTATGGTCATGGTCAAAATTATATGTGAGATATGTTTCTTGCATCATTGTTGTCCTTTAATAATCACATTGCCAAAATATTTTGGCGTACAATAGGTACGTGACCAATGATCATTCATGCCATAATAATGACATTGATTTCTTATATCATCTCAAACCTCCTTCTAGAGGTGAGTGTGGTATATTCACTACCACTAGCACGTTTATATTCTTCCAAGAATGAATATGTATTCATAAATCAGATGTTATCACGTTCACATCATGAATTGACCATAGTCATATGTATGTGATTTACGAAATCTTATGTCAAATCGATGACAAACATTACTTTCACAGAGTGAAGAATTATTTTGAGAATCCTTATTATTCTCATTATCACAATGATGACGATTATAATTTCGTCCATTGCCACGTCCACATCGATTGATACATTCATAGTGATAATTTTGTCTTCTTTCAGACTTATCACATACTGCTATCACATTCTCTTAAGGGACTGAGAATGGAGCAAATTCAATGGGACGGGTTTCCACTTTTTGTGCGCATAATCATACATGAATTTGATCATGGCAAGACATAAAAATTTTACCAATTCAGGTAGTTATAATTTTTTACTAACTCCATTAGAGTTATAATCGAAATTATTTTCTTTGCTTGTATTTAAAATTAAATTATAGAATAAAAGAGAAAAATACGGTAAAATACATACCTTAAATTCAGAATTTAATCACGAAGGAAGTTCATGGAACAATTAACAATCAATATGCTCAATCACAAAGCTTCTACTCAATTGGTTAGAGTCTCGTGCTGATAACGTGTTATGAAACAATAAAAGAAGAAGAAAAGTATTGCAGGGAAAAGTGGGGAGAGAGAATTCTTATTAATATTTGGAATGAATTACAATAGAATAAAACCCTCTATTTATAGGGAGAGAGTGACTTAGCCACCAAACAATGAACCCTAGAATCTCTCTAAATATAGACATTCACCATAAATAGAACTCTATTTATAACAATTATAATGTTATGTCACCAATGACTTAAAATTCTGAATCTTTCTTATTACACTTACCATCCTTTTTGTTTCTTTTTATTCTATTAAAAAGCCGGGAAAAAAGAACAAGATCATTACTCTAGAAGTCTTATATTATTAAAGACTAACTTAAATTACGTACTATAATACCTATAACTAATTACAGTGTATAACATAATTAGTCAAATTGAATCCCAACGTGCAGCGTATGATAGGGGACAATATCCCTTAAATTAAAGCTTTTATTATGGTAACGTATCTTCAATCAATATTACTATGATTTTTCTCTTTATTAATCAGCAGTTAAAACTTCCAACTCGCGGCGGTAATCCATATTCACCATCACACATGAGTTCAAAATAACACATGAAGTATAAATTAAGTGTACTATATATTCTATGAGTACAACTTTTACTGCAAGATCTTCTATACATGCAATGCTCAAGCAAAATTTTGATTTACCTTGCAAAGGTTGCAATAATTCAAGTTGTGCATCTCCAACACAATCTTTACCAAAAACAAATATTTTCTATCTTAGAACGATTACTAAGTTGCTAACTGAAAATGTGTAGTAAAATTATGTGCTAAAAATAATTTTATAAATAAGTAATTACGTGTTCGAATAGAAGTGTCAAATTTAAATGTAAGCCGTCAATGGATTTGCCAAAATAGTAGTGCTGATAAGTAATTTTTCTCTTAAAATAACTGAAATATCTTTAATACTATTTATAAAAAATATAAATTTAAAGTTTTTTTTATATAAAAAGGAACGAATTACAAAAATAGAATACGGAGATAATTAATACTCATTTTTCGAAGGAATATTTAGGAGAATACAAAAGATATTAGGGACAAATTTATAAGTTAGAGGTACAAATTTATGACTTTTGACTATTTTTGCTTATAAACACTTTTGACATTGACCAAACGCATAAATAAATTTATAAGTTACTTTTACTATTTTATAAGCTTAGCCAAAAGCAGCCCATTATCATTTCTACAAATTATTTTGTGTCCGAAGCGGGACAAGTCTCTTGTTCATTATAAGAGTAGAAAAAGAAGAGTATAAAAAAAAACTAACCAAAAAGAGGGAAATATATAGTCGAAACAACTGGGAGGAAGAAGGGTAAAATAGCAGTGCAAAGCGTTTCACTTGGCTAAGGATGAACCTGTAAAAGTTGAATAGTGGCAAAAATTAGGGACACGTGGTTGTCCCTGTGGAGCCACCACACTTTAATCTCAGCTGGAACTACGTATACTGTTATATATTCCTTTACTATCTTATCCACAAACTTAAAAGAGAAAAGGAAAAAAAAGGAAATACACAGAAATAAGCTTATACTGTTATTTATCTGCTTTGCTATCGAAAGAGACAATATTACACGTTGATAAAGGCAACAGAGTGATAACTAAAAAACAAATATATATTTGCTGACTCTTGCATGCCTAACTAAAGCATACGTATTTATTGTAGAAAATCTAATTTCTAATTTTTTTATTTCCTAATTAATTACTACAACATATTCGTCCAATATTTTCTTTGTAGTACTGTTCCTTTCAAGACAGAGTCAATGGACATGAAGATACATGCCTTAACGCTTTGAATCCTTTACTTAGTAAAGTGTTACCGACAACCATACTATATATATTGCTGTTGCCTTCTAATTAACGTACATCTAGATCCACGATAACGCAAAGTAAAAGAAGGTACACTATGGCTAAGATAATAATTCAGAAGGATGCAGGTTGATATAAAGCCTAAACACATTTCTGAAACCGGGTTGGTTTTTAAGAAGAGAGAACCAATAGAACTTCGATGAAAAGCACAAGTACTTTCTTAACGACACGGACCAATTGATTTCTGCTGTAAAAGAGATTCTCTCAGTAACCTAACCCTGGCAACAAATAATTGCATCAAAGTATGAGCTGTTCTTTGTGCATGTTATGTGATGTGCATAATTATATAACCATATACCCGGTATTAGAAACTCATTGATCCGACTAATCTAGATTCATGCCGGCTAAGCACACTGAAAGGTAAAGTAGTCCCTATCAAGAAGTTCATCGTACGTCCTCATAGACAGACAAATATGAAACATTTAGTTAAGGAGAAAGAAATTCTAACCATATATCCAACAACGTTCATGGGATGGTATAATGATTCATTATACTGATATCATATACAGTTTCACCAACAGAATCTAATAGTACTAGTTTAATTAAAGTATAAAGAACCAGCATCAAACTCAGAAAGCTTTAACGTTACCATCAATGCTAGCTAGTACTATAACAAAACATAGTTGTCAGGATAATAGTGTAATCTTCACAAACTTTACCTACTCTACTTAGTTAGGTACCAAGTGGCCAATGAAAAAGGATGAAGTAGGCTTAACGTTTCATTCTCTGTGAGTTTAACTTATATATGTGCATTTGACAATAAAAAATAACATCATACTAAAATACCCTAAAACACTATCGTGTATAGTAAACCTAATTTGATGAACTAGACAATAAGATATATAAATAATATGTTATACAAGTTAGAAACATTGATAATATAAACTTTTTACACCATTAGTGTATATAAATTAAATTTATTAAAATATGATCTTTCACAAACGATAAACACCGAAAAGAATAAGAAGTTAGCAAAGTAATTCATTTAGTATCAGCCTCATCCTGTAATGATATCCATTATTTGGTTCTTAGTTATCTAAACCTGTCCAATGATATCAATTGTTCCGGATTAGATGAAGAGTTAAGTATTACTTTAGTATTTGTCGCAGTCTTCATGTATTGAAGGATGTTGACATGGGAGAAACAAGCATATACACTTATTAAAGATGATTTTCATTTAGTCAACTCTTTGCAAACAAACAAATAATGTTCTTCAGCAGATAGTTTAACTACGAGCAAAAATCATGTACTATGTGCTACTTCCTCTTCATATATCCTTTCCCAGTAAGTTTTGAAAGATGATTTGTAAGAATGAATTTTGATCGACTTACCAGAAACGATGGACAATGTCATGATGCTGATCACTCTTTACGGGAAAAGTTAGACAACTTTAGTTTTTCTAGTGTTACTAGTTTCGTTTTTGTTGGAACAATTTCAAATTTATCAACTTGCCTGTTACAAAATCAGCTCCCTCCATATCATAAGAATTGAACTAGTTAGTTTTAAGTAGTTGAAGATGTTCTCAACCATAATTTTCTCAAATATTCTTTTTGGCTCTAATTTTTGTAGTTAGCATCACTGTCTTCAGTCATTTCTCTCAATTTATCAAAGGATTTACATTCCGAAATAGCAATCACTTGACAGAAAACATTACTCCATTCAAAAATGACAATGCCTTTAAAAGATATAACTAGAGCAATCTGTTAAAAGTATTTAACTTGATATATTTTTGCATTACTGGTCCGAAAAGGTAGCAAAATACTATACGTTTAATTTTGATAATATATCGTAAGTAAAGGACAAAGATGATTGACAGAAAGAGTGATCCTGAGTTTTCATCAAAATAACATTCATTTTTCTTGATCAAGAAACTCACCTTAACATAAAAGTATACTCAACAATATAGATATCATAGTTGTACCGTGGACATCTTCCATCTTTGAAACTCGAGTTGATTCACCTGTTATCTATATGACTTCACTTTGAACTAATAAGTTTAAGAAACACATGAAATTAATTATCAAGAGTTGAAATTAACAGAAAGCTAGTCAATTTCACAATTCACGATTTCAACAATATCTTTTTACAATTATAAGTAGAGATTTAAACAAGAAGTGCATCCTTATGCGCAAAAGAAGCACAAATTTTACCAATCATTATTTTGCATTAGGGCGCCATGATTTTGGCTGAGATATACTATAAAATATAATTACCTGCTAGCTTTTGATTATCCCTTATTGCTGCAGGAATTGAAGAGGGTTTTGAATTTCTTCAACGACCCAAACTAAGTGCAGCTTTAGCATCAAATCTCCATGCAAATAATCCTCCAAAATCCATCTTCCACACATCACACGGCATTGTCTGTGAGTGCTTCATATACAGTATCCTTACAGTGCATGCAAAAGCTGGCAAAGAAGAAGGCAAATTTATTTTCTCCTTCACTACCAACCACGTCACCAGCTCCGGCGGCGTTCCAGAACCTTCTAGAGGATCAACCATTCTCCTATACGCCAGATTCACCCACTGAACCCTATCTAAGCCGTCCGATATGAGCCCTGGACACGTGTCAGCTTCCAGATTCTTCATCTTCTCCATGTCCGTACTCCCTAACGCTTCTCCATCTACCAACGTGTTTGTCATTTTATCCACCATCACCCATGACTCTATAACCCTTTTCTTCTGTATCTCCACAGTCCGATCTATCCGATCCACTGATCCTACTGTTAAAACATCGTTATTCTCCGATTTCTGAAAATTCATCCAAAAAGGTCTAGATCCGATATTTTCTAGAGAGTTCTTAACGCTGATACTGCTTTCAGGCATCAACTGAAGGGTTAAAACAGTTTTACTATCAGTAAACTGTAAGGATCCGTCCTTTTCTCCTTCTTCTTTGTTACTTTTGCACTTGCTATTTTTCTTAACTCTAACGTACTTTCTTTTGACTCTTCGTTTAGTAACAAGTTCTATCTTGTTTCCTTCCGGTGTTGAACCAGGAGATGAACCCCCGGCGACCGGTTTAGGTGCGATTGGTCGGAATCTTAGCATTATCCGGTTCATTATCGTTGTATCCTGCGGTCCACCGGCGTATCTAGCGGCGGGCCAATCATTTCCACCGTCCATCACAGCTGAGGAGCTTTCTGGAGGAGCTTTTTTTAGACCGAAAGAATAACATTTGACCGGTGGCCGAGCGGATTATCATAGTTACAGCACAGTGATTGGGGTGAAGGAAAGCCACGTGTCTAGGGCAAACGTAGAGTAGTGAAGAGTTATGATTGGTGGACAGGGATTAGGTGGGTCCCATGATAAAGCAGCGTATCCAGGGAAATTGGTTGCTCTGATTGGTGTGCACGTAAGAGCCAATTAGCATGTGGACACGTATAGAGCACTCAGACAAAAAGGTGACACGTATGTACCTCATTAGAACCAAAGTGGGGAATACTTTTGGTGGGAGGTTCCAGTTACTGGACGCGTGTCTCCTGTTCGAAACAGTTACTGCTTCAGAGATTGTCACGCTCCTTGCTCGGTCGTGCATTTCTATACTATTATTGAGAGTGAGATTTGGACGCGCTGATTGGATGGCAATGGAGCCTGTCCAAATGGTTGGTTTAGCGAGTGAAGAGAACGCTCTTGTATGATGTAGGGGGATATCTGCTCAGATATTGTTGTGGTTAATAGGGCTATGGCATTCGGACGCGTGGGTATTGTTAGGGGTGATTGCTAGGGCCCAGGTAAATATTTGAGACCCTATAGAATCTCAGAATTAATTATCGCACCTGCTATTGCTGTCATCGATATGGTTATATACTCCTTTCTTTTTTATTTATTTTACGCGAACCATTTAAATTGGTTACAAAAATTTACAAAAGAAAAAAGGATAGATTGTTATCTTAATAAGTATACTGCCTCCTTTTCAATTTATGTCTAACCTATTTTCTTTTTGGTCCGTTCCAGAAAGAATGAACCCTTTCTAAATTTGGAAACAATTTAGGTTAAACTTACAATTCCACCCTTTATGAGAAGGTTTTATAACCACACAAATACTTTGGACCCCTTTTTGATTTGTTTAGGACCACAAATTCCAAAAGTCTTCATTTTTTCTTAAACTCCGTGCCCAGTCAAATAGGTTCACATAAATTGGAACGGAGGGAGTATCATATAGTAAAAAGATTAACATTACTCTCTCTGTTATGTGAACCTATTTTCTTTTTGGTTCGTTCCAAAAATAATGATCCCCTTTTTAAATTTAGTAATAATTTTAGCTTAAACTTACAATTTTACCCTTAATGAGAAGCTTTTATAACCACACAAATACTCTGGACCCCTTTTTGACTTGTTTATGACCACAAATTTCAAAAGTCTTCATTTTTTCTTGAACTCCGTGCGCAGTCAAACAGGTTCACATAAATTGAAATGGAAGGAGTAATTTTTTTTTATTCGTGAGAATGGGAGCTGAAAAAAGTGTTACTGATAGAGTTTAAACTTTCCACTCAAGCGTGAAGGGAGGGAGTTAAACAAGTGAGCTGGTTCTCGGATCCTGGGTTGACCCGCTTTGTTTTGAGGTTCATCTCCTATGGCATATTTAGTGTGTGCCTATACATATATACGCACACACTTTAATTTACATCAACTACTTTTAATACTACATCTTCCATGTATTCTAATTGCAAAATGTTAGCAGTATTTGGCTCCTTCTTTTCTTTTTAGATACTCCAATATGAAAACACTACTAGACAATCAAGTAGTTTTTGATAAGATTCTTTCGAGGTAGAAAATGTTAGGAGTCGGAGTCCAGTTTCTTTGTTTTTCTTATAGTATGAGTCTAGTCATTGGGTGCTTCTGTCTTTTGTGTAGAGATGAAAACATAGTGAGACACTTATGTAGATTTTCAACTAGATTCTATTTCCCTATTAATATTTTTCTGGATATTTTAAAGTTGTTCAGTTATTGGTGATATAGCGTGGCTGCTTACGAATGAAACTCATCTGCTGAGGGTTTGGCTAAAGAACAAAATAGACGGTATATTAGAGAAGTACGATCTTGGTTTCAACTACATGAATCAATAATAAAGAAAATCGTATGAACATATTCTTCTTTAAACCTAACAATGTAGCATCATGGTCAAAGCTAGAAGGCTGTAGTGGAAATGAAAAAGAAAGGCCCAAGAGTCGGGTATAATATTCAACCAAATTAAAGCATCTTCAAAGCTACTCTACGTAATGATTAAAATCTATAAAGCTGCTTTTATTGTTCCTTTTCGTTGTTTATTTTCTACTATAATTCATTTCCTAAAGATGCAAGGGCAATAATTTGGATTCTTGATGATGTTAACGCTGCTTAATTTTTCAAGATATTATACTTGCTTCTTAACTTTTGATGAGTTCAGATGAACCCCATTCCTGGGACAATTACATTATATTTATAAAGTTAAAATTATTTGATATAACATAGATAGTAAATGTTAATTAATTCATTTGGTTTTTCGTGTGTCTTCTCCTTTAGATTTAATTCCTATATAGTGAAAATTTTAATTCTGTCATTGATAACAGTGTAGTTTAAAAGGTTATATAATCAAATGTTTAAGAATGATGGTGACATTTTCGTTCCCGTAGTTCACCTAAGATTATCAGCTATATAAAAGATTCCAAATGAAAGGAAAGTAAAGGATTGTATTCGCACATTTGGTCCAATTGAAGTAGTTGAGGATTAAAACAAAACTACTAGAAAATTCACTGTTCTAATTCATGCGACCATATTTTATTAGATATGGATATTAAAATATAAGTAGTGACAAATAAAATGGTAGACTATATTTTATTAGACACGAAGATTTAAAATAGAAGCAGTGACACATAAAATGGAAAAGAAAGAGTAATAATTTTGCATCGAGGTTAATTTCCCACACCTACTCCCTCTTTCACACAGACATACATTTAAGTAAATGTTTTGATAATATATACTATATTTTTTTTTTGTCACTCACCTGACATCGACAAATATCAAAGGAAGACTGTTGGGAAAACAGCTAAGCAGAGGAGAATAAAGAGATGTGGTTTTTGAATGGATAAGCATCTGACAATATTTTCAAACGTTTTTTGACAAATTATCAGCAACCTTATCGGCTTAGGTTTCTATCATAAAGGTCCCCCCCATCTCACTCTTTTATAAGCTGATGGTGGGAAAAACTTTTTACATTTTGATAATTACCAACTCCATCAGAATTGTCAACAGAAATCTCGGTTTTGTATATGCTCCCCTTCGACTAGGTATTCAATTTAATGAAACTTAGGCTGCCTGTGGGTGCAATTAAAATGAGTTTAAGTTATATGTAATGATCAAGTAAAAAAATATTTATATAATCAGGCTGTTTATGGTATATTTTAATAATAAATAAATATTATTTGATGTTTTGATAAAAATAATACTTCACCAACGTTGCTATCACATGGTTGTTAGGAGCTAAAAATATCAGGTGTCATGCGGAAGCTAGCAAAACAAACCTTGAACGACGATAAATTATACAACAAATAGAAATCTACCAAAAGAGACACAAACAATTAACGTGGTTCGGTCAACTGACCTACGTCCACAACGGAGATGAGCAATCCACTATAATAAAAGAAAGTACAAAATATCGAGTGAACAACCTCACGAAGAGGCAAACACAAGTGACACACCAACACTTGTCCCGAGTTCTCCCCCTAAACAAGACTCTCAAGCCCTCTATGACTACATTGTGGATGCTACTGAATGTGAAGGAAGGATCCTCAATTTATAGAAGTCCAAACCATTTCCTACAAGAAAAAGGACTAGCCAAATATTGGAGATTTATAATTTCCTTTTACAAAAAAGGAAAACTCAGTTAAGGTAATTATATAGCCCTTTTCCTTCAAGAGATAGGAAAACCAAATATGGTAAGAAAATTATGGCAAACACCTAACAATTCTCCCCCTTGGCCTGAATTTTCTGACAAAATAAACTTGATTCACCTTCTTCACATAGCATTCAACAGGTCGCATCTCCAGATCTCCGCCACAAAGTTCGTCTCAACGTGCGTAGTACTCCGGTCAAATTTCTCAGAAAAAAAATCATGATTATCGTCAAATATGTTGCAGCTAGAACTGAACCCGCCAAGATGAACCTGTCTTGAACCTCGCTCTGATACCACTTGTTAGGACCTAAAAATATCAGGTGTCATGCGGAAGCTAGCAAAGCAAACCTTGAACAACGATAAATCATACAACAAATAGAAATCTACCAAAAGAGACACAAACATTTAACGTGGTTCGGTCAACTGACCTACGTCCACAACGGAGATGAGCAATCCACTATAATAAAAGAGAGTACAAAATATCGAGTGAACAACCTCACGAAGAGGCAAACACAAGTGACACACCAACACTTGTCCCGTAAAGTTCTCCCCCTAAACAAGACTCTCAAGCCCCCTATGGCTACATTGTGGATGCTACTGAATGTGAAGGAAGGATCCTCAATTTATAGAAGTCCAAACCTTTTCCTACAAGAAAAAGGACTAGCCACATATTGGAGATTTATAATTTCCTTTTACAAAAAAGGAAAACTCAGTTAAGGTAATTATATTGCCCTTTTCCTTCAAGAGATAGAAAAACCAAATATGATAAGAAAATTATGGCAAACACCTAACATTGTTCTCGTTATTTTCAACTTTCTTTCCTTCTCTAGTGTCTTGATTCAACTTGCGGCAAAACCTTTTGATGTGTCTTTTCTTGCCACAGTGGTTGCATGTAACATTATAGTATTTGGACCTTGACTTACTTCTACTTTTACCTCTATTCCTTGAGCCTCTTGTTCTATCTCTCCCCCGATCTTCTGTAACCAAGATATCTGCTTGTGAGGATGAACCCTGCGATTTTCTCCTTACTTCCTCGTTTAACACACCACTCTTGGCATATTCCGTGGTCACCTTACCTCCAGGAGCTGAATTTGTCAAAGAAACACGAAGAGTTTCCCAAGAGTCTGGCAGAGTATTAAGAAGCCAAAGTCCTTGTATCTCATCATCAAAATTAACCCCCATTCCAGATAGCTGATCAAGGACGCCCTGAAAATCATTTATGTGATCAAGGATAGGGCTGTCTTCCTTGTATTTAAAGGGCATCAATTGCTTTAGCAGAAACAATTTGTGATTCCCTATTTTTGGAAGCATAAAGAGTCTCTACTTTTCCCACAATTGATCTCGCATGGTATTCTCGTTCACAATATGGTTGCGAACATTATCTTCAACCCATTGCCGTATATATCCACATACTTGTTGGTGCTCGAAATCCCAAATCTTCATCGGATATACTCTCGGGTTTATGAGCTGAAAAAATGGGTAGATGCATCTTCTTCACGTAACAACAAGTCTTTCATCTTGCTTCTCCAAACATTATAATTTCTCCCATTTAAACATACCATCTTGCTCATATTCGCCTCCAGTCCGTAATAACCCGGATAAATAACCAAGGCTCTATTCTTAGTGACTCAATAAATCTGGTGGAAAGTGATAGTTTGTCAGAATTGTGGCATCGAAGATTGAGTCATATGAGTGA